TTCACAAAGTTACACATGAAATGTGTAATCAAGATACCAAGAATTAGTTGTAACATGAGATACTCGGATCTGCATGGATCTTTTCCTTTATCAGCTTTAATGTGTCTTCCAGTTCTGGCTCATTTATCTCATGAGAGGGAGTGATTGTGTTTTTGACTGCTTAATTGATGCTTTGACAGTTGTAGCTCTCCTTCCTACCAATATGGCATTSAGAGAAAAGCTCTGCTTTGGTCCAAGAGAGCAGCATTGGATTTTTGGAAGCAGTCATCTTTCCTCTTCTRCATTGAAAATGGATACAGCCACACTGCAGAATGACAGAACCAGACTTCAGCCATCCTCCTCTGGGATAAGAATGGAATGCTTGTTTCTGATTATTTGAGAACATTTGGATGTTGATAACTTTTCAGTATAAGGAGTGGCAGTTGTTTAGGGAGGTTTGGAAGGGAAGTTAGGTAAGAAAACACCTGAATCTTAATGGGTTTGGGCAAAAATTCATTAGGTAAAGCAGCTGAGAAATGCACTGTCCTGTTTAGAAATGCCACACAGAGGTCTTTTAGAGAGAAAACAAATAGTAGATGCTAAACCATCTGTCAGATACTGCACTCTTCTCAGGACTGAGGATTAAGATGCAGAATTGCTGTGTAGGTGCACACACCACACAGAGTTAAACACACAGAGTTGAACAGCAGGCTCACCCTGTGCTCACTGCAGATGTCTGAATGAGTGAGTGCCTGTGGGCTGGAGCTGCATGTCTTGTGGCTTCCACTCTGCTCCGTTGGGAAGYCTTCACTCCTTTTGTTTTTATCCTTTTCCAACTGCAGCACTTTGGAGCACACAGCTCCATTGAAGTGCATTCCAGCCCCATGATTTCATGGTACCAGGCACAAATCCCCTGCCATGCTGCTATGCTGCCCGCTGCTTCTCAGGGAATGAACAAACAGGGAACATAAACTCTCTCCAAAGGAGCAATGTTCTCTGTATATTTTTAGTGCAAGAAATCCAAGATTCTTTTGAGAGTGTGTTTTGTGKGGGCTTTTTTTAATATAGACTTCTGCTAACACAATGGAATATTTCATGCCACCCTATTTGCTATAATTTCTTGTGCTTTRTGTTGTTAAATGGAATCAAAGGAGTTAAAGATGAAAGACTTATAGTCAACTGGTCCCTCAGCTGGGAGCCAATACGGGTTTGTTCTTTGTAATGGATTTGCTAATGCTTTACTCAGGTTGAGCATAGCTCAGTTTTCATTATTGGATTTACGTATTTCTGTGAATTCTGTATTTTAGGTTAAGTAATGGCTGAACTTAGACTGAATATAATACTGCTACTGTTTGTTTCTAATGTTTGACTTGCTATTTATTGCCCTCRTACTGAACAAATCTTTTGTAAGTATTTGTTTACCATCTGAACATACAAAGCACCATTAAAGATGTCATGCTTGCCTTTACAGGTATTCTCTTTAATATATAAAGAACTTGGTTCTCTCTTTATATGAAACTGTGTTCATTTTACTTTGTACATTGTGTGTTTTCTTTTCAACATGTAGTGTGTCACAGTATTACAAGAAGCCTACCTTTCATTAGCTCATTGTTAGCCTTTGAATATTTGGAGTTAGAACAGTATTTGAACATAGAGTTTATGCTGAGACACTGATGTCTTGTATTTTCCTGGTGAAAGACACTCTCAAACTGCCTATTTAAATGTCACTGTTGCATTTTTATGCATTGAGTATATTATACTCAAATTAAGGGTCATGATACATCCAATATGTTCATGGTAACATAATTCACAAACTGGACAGTGATCCGAAAAGTTGAAAATGCAGATAATGACCATGTTATGGGAAACATATGAAACAAGGATTGTGGCTGCAAGGGGGAATAGAGTCTGTGTGACTTGGGGACCAGCAAAGTTTCTAGACAGAACTCCACAGGCTCAGCTTGTCAGCACTTTTTGGGTCAAGATATTGGCACATGAGATGATTTGTGGTGACTGCACAGAAATTCCTGTTTTCTGGTATAACACACAGTTACCCCAGGGGGTAGAGCTGCTCCTGCAGTGAAGTAGCACCAGCTTCAGGATCCCAGGGAAAATTAGCAGTAATGTCAGACGACATTTCAGATGATGCTGAAGTTGGAATATGTGCAAGTTTCTGCACTATGCTTTAACTTTATCATACTAACCTACTTTAATTGATGCAGATCCCTAGTGGATGTCTGGCACATAATGAAGTTTCCTAGCTTTTCTAACTGTGCAGGTAGAAAACATCTGTAAARTCACTGGAATTAAGGCAGTAATAGCTTAATTAGTAACAGGAGTAATAACCTTACCATGGCATTCTCTGTGCTTTTTTACTGTCTTGATATACAGTAAGAGCTGTATGTAAGAACTCTTTGGGGAAGCAAGGAGTGTAAAGCACAAGTGGAGGAGGAAAAGAATGCAGGAGGGATGGAATTATCTGATAAAATAAGAAGTACAGTCTGTGAAGAAGAGTGTTGTTAAACAGGCATATAAATGGGCACTAGAGAGCAAGCAGCACTGTGAGGTAAATTGTGGGAAGGAGAATCAGGATGTGAACTTAGTGAGGGGAGATGTGGACATGAGAAAAGGTTATGTGCTCTGACCCTGTAGGGCTGCAACAGCCCAGGATCCCTGTAGGGCTACAACACCATATTTGTGCTTAACTGTTTTCTTCTTGACTTACTCTTTTGGTTAAGGAACACAGGAAACAAAAGACAAAGGTTGTGCCTACAAAGTACCTTTTGCATTGTCCAGCAGCTGCTCTAGGCCTGTAGTAATAGAAGTACAGCTCTGAAGTCTTGTGAATCCCAAATTTCTATAAGATTTCATCTAATTTATACATATTATTATAATCTAATATATACAAATTATTCTAATTTGGAATGTTGAAAGCCTCCTACTATAGGTGAGCAGCTGGCCCTTCTCAGTGCTAACAGGAATCTGCAATTCTAAGCCCAGGTAACAGCTTAGAGGAGGTGAAGGAATTCTGTGAGTGGTGAGAAATGCTTTGATGTCGAGGAATTAAATGCCAAGTGAGAGATAGAGTATCATAACTCCATTTTTGTGTAATGGAGAGAAAAGGCACATGAGTGGTTGAGCACCAGAGCACAAGGACTACAAGCTGGAATTGCTTTGGAAGAAGTAGTGAGCTTTTCATTGCAGTGAATACCTTGAAGCTCCTGTTCTGGAGGTTATCCAAGAGCTCTGACTCAGGAAATAATTATAAGTCAAGAAGATATTTGGGATGGGGTGAAGGGGTTGCCATCAAAACTTAAATGTGTAGTTGTTTATGTGAGCAGGAGAAATGAGCATGGCAGCTAGCCCAAAGCTGCTTTTGTCGTCAGCATAAACACTTAAATATTGGGTAAGAAAATTGTCTTGATCTGAAAAAAAGGCTTACTTTAGAAGCAAAGAGGATTTTTCAGCAAATTTTGAAAGAAATATTCTATTCTTTTCTGAGCTATAGATCATGCTTTAAAAATAAAGAAGTCATATTCCACTTGGAAACACTTTCTCATTAATTTTTCTGAAGTCTGAGTCAAAATGAATTAAGCCAATTTGAAGTCCTTTTTTGAATAGTTAAAAATAATGGTACTTGGCCTTGACTTTTACTGCCATTTTGTGTGGTTTAAGAGTTGTATGACCTTTTTTTTTTCTACCCCACACATTTGTAAGAGATTTACAGAAAAGAAAACAGACTACATCAGTAAATAAATTCTCCCTGCTAAGTTATGGATGTTGCTCATAAAAGTTAGCAAGAAAAAAATCAGGCATAATGAAGTTGATGATCCTGCCACACAACTGAGTCTGAAGATTTGTATTGTAGAGCTTTGTGACTGGAACTCTGCTGATGTGGGGGAGGACCCTCATTTTTAACTTGAGCAGTCTTGCATTCTCTTACAACTTGGCATGTWACAAGGATTTTCACATCAAACATTGCTGAGCTACTTTTGAACACGGTGGAATTCTTTGGGAAGGTCTGGGAGGTAATTGATCAAATGCTGACAGCTCGGGGCTCTGAGAAAATGGTCAGATGGAGGGCTGGGATGCAGGAAAACAAACTTTCTACGATGGTAACTGTCACTTAGCCAAGCTATACATGTTTCAAGCTTTTTAATCTTTGCTCACAACCTCAACTTCTTAGTCTTTTTTTTTTATTTTTGCTATTTCTCTGTGGACTCTTTTCCAGTGGGTTGTTTTGTGTTGGTTTTTTTTTTTTCTTTTTATGCATGGACAGTATTCCAGGTGTGATCTTGAGCTGTGGCTGTATTTCTTTGTAGAGCTCTTTTAGAAATTCTACTGCTGCCAAAATGGGTAGTTTCAGAACTTTGATGATCTCTTTCATTATTYTTTGACCCTTGGGTCAAGAACTAGGTTTCTTTCAGGAACTGCTTGAAATGCTCTTTGCAGCTAGAAAAATAAGACTTCAATGTTCATGGGAGTTAAGATGGCAATCTACTGAGACATTGCGTGTGTTTACAACAAAAATGTTTGAATTTCTCTACACTGTGAGAAATTCAGTTTCTCTAAGTTTCTCTAGCAGAGTGGATATAGAAACTGAARTGTGGATATAGGAACTAAAGAGAAACATACAGCTTTGGTGCAAAAGATGATGAAGGACTCTACCACCTGGTTTCTGAGACCAACTTTTCACCAATGTTGTTTACAGMTGTATTTTTTTGCATATACAATATGACACCTTACAATTACAGTAGTTTCCAGTCTCTCTACAGTAAGATAAAGTATTTTCAATTACTTACTCCAATTATCAGTTCTGAGGTCATTTATCTATTCATACACTCACAGGAGGGGAGAAGAGATAGGTCTAAATGAGGCTTTTAAAATGAAAATATAAAATAAATAGAAAGAATCTGKCAAAATATAAAATAAATATAAAGAATCTGTCAAAATATAAAATAAATATMAAAGAATCTGTCCAAAAGCCCGTGTGTGCTAATTTTCCCACTGCTTTGTCCCAGAATGTGGTCGTGGATCGGATTTTCTCTGGAATTCAGCCAACTGGGACCCCTCATCTGGGGAACTATCTGGGGGCCATTCAGAACTGGGTGGATCTGCAGGAAAAGTGCAGCTCAGTGCTCTACAGCATTATGGACATGCACTCTCTCACCATGCCCAAGGATCCAGCTGTCCTACGCCAGAAYATCCTGGACACCACTGCTGCCCTCCTCGCCTGTGGGATTGACCCCAAAAAGTGTTTCCTGTTCCGCCAGTCACTGGTGAGTGCTCCTGTCGTGGTAGATTTGGTTCTGATTAATAGGCTTTCCTCACATCTTAATGAATGAGTTAAACTCTTTATCATCTTTGTGTCGGTGAGCCTAGAAAATGTTAGCAATGTTGGATTTTAAACTTATCCCTTGCTGTGGTCTTGAGGTTTAGAAGTCTGAAACCATGGCTGAAAAGTCCATTTAGGGAGAAGTACACTGTAAATTTCTGAAGCAGAGCTAGGAATTTGTGGAGACTATGAGTAAAATTCTGAAAAGACCTCTTAGGAGACCACTAATTTATCTCTGTAAGTCTCACTTTAGTCACAAAAGGTTAGCTCTTAAATGCATAAGCATAAAGGTGAGGAAAACCTTAATGTTTCTATGGTTTTGTAGCAGCTCTAGCCACTTATTCTGTCAGCTGCACAATATCTACAACAGGTGATTAACGTGGTAAGTTTTGTATCAGTTCCACTGTGATCATCAGGGGGTTGCATCTTCCCTGGGACTTTTTCCCCCTTCTTTCTATAACCTCCTTTTCATATGCACCATTTTCCATCTGATTTTATAATTTGTATGTGAGCTGTTTGCTTCCCTTGACCACCCTAAAAGGTGCTGGGCTTGCCTTCCCACTTGGCATATGTCACCCTAGTCTATCACATGTTAGATTTTCCTGGAACACAATTTAGTTTCTTGCTCAATTAAACTAAAGTTTAGTTTCTGGCTCTAAACTGGCAAGCCTCTGTAATTTCCCACAGAGAGAGATGTGTCACAGCTTCTGCTGTTCATCCACAAATGGGTGTCCACCTTGCAACAGAATTGCAAAAGTGATGTGCACACAGGGTCTGAATTTTTTCAGTGTGAGMTGAAATGGGATTGCATTCTCCCTTTCAACGTGGTTCTTTACAGGCAGTTTCCTGTAAATTGCAAATGGCACTCAGAGTTCTATATCCCTGGTGAATCATGAATTGATGAAGACAGATATACTTCCTGCTTCACTTTTCCTCTGTATTAAAAACC